TCATAGTTGTTTGATGTATTCTATAATCTTCAAGCATCTGTTTCATCCAAAGTAGTTGTGTACAACAGCTTCCAGCTGCGATGTATTCTGCCTCTGCTGTTGATAATGATATAGAACTTTGTTTTTTTGCTTATCCAAGAAACGAGATTTGTTCCTAGGAAAAAACAACCTCCTGAGGTGCTTTTTCTGTCATCTATGTTTCCTGCCCAGTCAGCATCGCAATAGGCTGATAAGTGATGATTGGTATCGAAAGAATACCATATTCCTAATTCGGTAGTTCCTTTAACATATTTAATGACTCTTTTTACTGCTTTTAGATGTTGTTCAGTAGGATTTGCTTGATATCTTGCACATATTCCTACTCCAAAGCTTAGATCTGATCTACTAGCAGTTAGATATAGTATACCTCTTATCATACTTCAATATAGGGTATGCTCAACTTGTTTTCCTTCAATATATTTTGAGATTCTTTCTGTTGTTGGAACTGGTGTTCTGACAACTTTGCTTTCCTCTAGTCCGAATCTCTTAACTAGGTTCTTTGCATATTTGCTTTGTGAAATGAAGATCCCACTGTCTTGTTGTTTGATTTGTAGACCTAGAAAATAGGTTAGTTCACCAACCATGCTCATCTCAAATTCTCCTTCCATGTTAGTGATGAATTAGTTTTTGTGGTGTTCAAGTGTAGCCAAAGACTATGTCATCAACATAGATTTGGGCAATGACTATATCTTGACCATAGTGTTTGACAAATAGAGTTTTGTCCACACTACCTCTTTTGTAACCCTTTTTGGCTAGGAATTCAGTGAGACGTTCGTACCAAGCCCGTGGTGCTTGTTTTAGCCCATATAGTGCTTTATTGAGTTTAAATACACTGTGGAAAATGTGGGTCTTCAAACCCTTTTGGTTGAGCAACATAGACTTCTTCTTTTAGATTACCATTTAAGAATGCTGTTTTCACGTCCATTTGGTAAAGTTTTATCTTGAGTATGCAGGCTACTGCTATGAGAAGCCGGATTGATTCAATTCTGGCTACTGGAGCAAATGTTTCCTCAAAATTTGTTCCTTCAACTTGAGTGTATCCTTGTGATACTAGTCGGGCTTTGTTTCGTATAACGTTTCCTTGTTCATCTGTTTTATTCTTGTAGATCCATTTTGTTCCTATGATATTGACGTTTTCCGTTTTAGAGACTAACTGCCAGACATTGTTTCTTTCAAACTGTTGTAACTCTTCGTGCATGGCTTCCACCCAAAATTCATCTTTTAAGGCTTCCGTGATGTTTTTGGGTTCTATTTTTGAGGTGTAGCAATAGTCGTAGTCTCCTTCTTCCATTTTTTGATAGTCACGTTTCTTTCCTCTAGTTATGATTCCTTCATTGAGTCCTCCTATGATGTTTTCTACTGGATGATTTTTCTGTATCCTGGTCTCATCAGTAGTGAGAGTTTCTTTGATTTCCTTAAGATTTTCTTCTTCTTCTTTCTCTGTTGATTCTGTTTCGGATTTCTGATTTTGTGGTGTTGAAACTGTTGTTTCAACAACAGTTGTTTCTTCATCATTGGTGGGGAAATCTTCTGTTGTTGTGTCATTGACCACAACATTTATAGATTCCATGACAGTGTATGTCCTAAGATTAAATACTCGATATGCCCTGCTGTTTGAGGAGTATCCTAGGAAAATCCCTTCATCCCCTTTGATGTCAAATTTTCTCAATGATTCTCTATCTTTAGAATATAGCATTTACTTCCAAACACATGTGTGTGTTTTTAAATTTGGTGTTTTTCCTTTCCAGATTTGATATGGTGTCATGTTGGTTTCTTTTCGTATGAATACTCGATTTATCAAGTAGCATGCTGTATTAACTGCTTCTGCCCAGAATTTTGATGGAAGTCTCTTGTGGTTTAAGAGAACCCTTGCCATTTCTTGGATAGTTTGATTCTTTCGTTCGACTACTCCATTTTGTTGGGGTGTTTTTGGTGCGGAGAACTCATGATGAATCCCATTTTCTATGCAGTATTCCTTGAATTTTGAGTTCTCGAACTCCCTTCCATGATCACTTCTTAGACGAATGATTTTTCCTATTCTTCCATCCTTTTCATTCTGGATTTTGATAATGAGAGTTTTGAATATTGTGAATGCTTCAGATTTTTCTCTAAGAAAGTTTACCCATGTGAATCGTGAATAGTCATTGACTGTTACATAAACTTATCTTTTTCCTCCTATGCTTTCTGTCTGAGTTAGCCCAAATAGGTCCATGTGAAGTAGTTCTAGGATTCTAGAAGTGTGTATTCCTGAGGTTTTCTTGTGGGCTGTTCGTGTTATTTTGTTTTCAAGGCATGCATCACATTTTTTGTTTTCGTCTAGGTCAAGTGTTGGAACTCCTCGGTAGACTCCCTTCTTCAAACCCTTTTTCATGTCATGAAAGTTTATGTGACCCATCCGTTGGTTCCATAATTGTGTTTGATTGACGGTTGTCTGTAAGCAAGTTAGATCACGGTCCCATGTGTAGCATTTATTTGTGGATTTTCTTCCGATCATAACACATTCATGATTTTGATTGAGAACATTGCAACTATCCTTTGAAAATTCCACTTTAAGTTCATCTTCACATAGTTGGCTTATACTGATCAAGTTTGCTTTTAATCCTTGTACTAAGAAGACCTTTGACAGTTTTGGCAGCCCATATACGTTCAAGGTTCCATTTGCGATAATTCTCCCTTTTCCTCCATCTCCAAAGGTAACATATCCTTCATTTTTATATTGTATATTCTCTAAATTTTCTGGATTTCCAGTCATATGCCTGGAGCATCCGCTGTCAAAATACCATATATCTTGCTATTTGTTTGTTTTGGAGGTATATGCAACATTTTGGTCTTTTCTTACCCAGATTTTCTTGCTATTACTTCTGTTATGTGATGGCCATACTCTGTTGTTTTTCCTGTAGTAAAAATCATTTTGTCTTTTGTAGCAGTGTGCTTTGATGTGTCCCAGTTTGTGGCAATAGTAGCACCTTATTCTTCTTCGGTGTCGGAAGTGCTGTTGTGACACTTCCTGTATCTCAGTTTGGTGATTCTCACTGGTGTCTGTGCTTTGAGTCCTAGGTCTTTTGATAAGCTCCTTGATTTCTTGTAGTAGTTTAGCTTCTCTGTTTTTGAAGTCTGATAGTTCATTTTGAGCTTCTTTGTATTGTTTTTCTACTCGATCTTTTTCGTTTTTTAAATAATGATTTTCTTCCATGAGTTCTAAATTTACCTTGATGATCTGCTCCCACTTGGCATTTAGTTGAGTGTATGCCTCTAGTAGCTCTTGCATGTCATCATTATTGTTACTTTCATGGCTGGCGGTAAAAGCTACGAAATTTGTGTTGCTGCCATCTTCTTCACTATCTGAGTCATCGCTCAGGGTTGTTATATATGTCTTATTTTTCCTTTTCAAGTATGTGGCACATTCTGATTGGATATGCCCAAATCCTTTGCATTCATTACATTGTATTCCTTCCGTGATTGCATTATCTCTTCGTTTTGGATTGAATGGTTTTTGATTGACTATGGAATTTCCTTGGTTGTTCGAGAAATTTTTATTCCTGAACTTGTTGAACTTTTTGAGAACTCGATTAAAATTCTTTGTCAATAGGGCAATTGACTGTTCCATGGTTTCTGAATCAGTTTCTGAGTTCTCTTCTTGTTTGGACTGTAAAGCTATTCCTTTGCCATTGTTTTTCTGGTTTTGCAACATCTCAAGCTCGTAGGTTTGAAGATTTCCCATTAGGTCACTAAGTTTATATGTATTCAAATCTTTATTTTCTTGAATAGCAGTGACTTTTATTAGGAATCTTCCAGGTAGTGAGCGTAGTACCTTTTTGACAATCCTATGTTCGGGTATAGGTTCCCCTAGGTTGAATGCTTCTCCAGAGATACTCAAAACTCTGGCACTGAATTGGGTGATGCTCTCTTCTTCTTCCATTTTTAGATTTTCAAATTCTGTTTGTATCATCTGTAGTTTAGATTGTCTTACAGATGTGTTTCCCTCATGATGATTGCACAATATACTCCACGCAGTTTTGGCTATGCGAGTAGAGGCAATTAGTTTGAATGTGTCTTCGCTTACTGCTCCATATATTGCATTCATAGCCTTCGAGTTGAAGTCATATTCAGTTTTCTCCTCTTCACTCCAATCGATTCTAGTTTTAGCATTTCCTTTGTCATCGACTGGAGTTTTCCATTCGTTCTCTATTGCATTCCAGACACCTTCTCCTTGTGCTAAAATGTATATCTGCATTCAAGCTTTCCAGTAGGAAAAGTTTGTGCCAAGTAGGGCTGGTGGTCTATTGTTTGAAAGACCTTCTCTAGGGAATTCCATTTGGATCCTGCAAATAACTTAAGCAGACCCGCTCTGATACCAACTGAAATTAATATAGACGTTGGACTCGGTAATGTTGAAACTGGCGTTGTGACACAATTAATTTATAACGCAGTTCGGGCAAACAACCCTAATCTGCGAGGCACTTCTCAAATTGAGAATTTGCCTAAATCCACTAAAAGCTTGATATTCAAAGTACACTTAGTTTAGGGAACAGGGATTACACAATATGATTTCCTATCAAACTATTGTGACCTAAACACTTGTACTACTTTTCAAGGGAATTTGGGTATCTCTTCTCAATGACTCTCGTGCTCACGATTAGGTGTTGAAAGCTTGAGTTCTTGTGATTGAGAGTGGCTTCTTTTATAGGATCAAATAACCTTAGGTTGTGTATGAATAGGTTATTAATCCTAATCATAGTTGGATTATGATATCTAATATGATTGGGACACGGTTTTTGCATCTAACATTTTGACAATTCATTTGAGGTCAACAATATTTATGATTGATATATATATATATATATATATATATATATATATATATATATATATATATATGTCCCAATTTTGTTGCTGAATTCTCATTATAATGAAAGGATAACAAAAAATGAGCAATATTGAATGCTACTATTTATTTTCAGGCTTGTGCAGTTTTAATAAATGCTGGCCAAGCTAATGCAGCCACGGAAATTGGTTTTTAATTTCAATTTAGAAAGCTTTGCTTTATGCTTGGTTTAAGGATCCAGCCCTGTTTTGATATGCATGCATGTGCTTAATTATCTTCAGACTCTACATAAAGTTTCTCATCTTCCAATTTAATAAGCATTATAAATAAAAATAGTTTTATCTCCAAACTTCGCCAGCCCCAGAAGATGTTCAAATTTTTATTGGACTTTAGATTGATATGTAGCTAAGAGTTATTTGCATGATGCAATAGAATGATCAACTGCTCTAGCTAATGTAGAGTATGCAGTTTTCCATTCTCTATTATAGGACAATTCTTTTTCTAACCTATCAAAAACAAAAAGATCGAAGCCCTGCATCAAATGACAATCTTTTAATAACTACCACTGCACTGATCTTGTTAGCAATAGTGTGGCTAGCTATTGAGTTGGAATGAATTGAAGTAATTAATCTTATATGATCTTCTATATATTTATTTATTTTTTGCATTGCTTGCTACAGTAATTAGCGAGCTGAGCTGTTTATTGCTCATATTCTGATCTGCAGGTTGGAATGAGGAACACATATAAGAGTTGGTGGCATGGCAAAGGGTTCTGGCATCATCCATCCTAACATGCCGACAATGCTTGGTATACATCATTTTGTCTCATAATTCTACCCTGAAAATAGTATTTGTTTCTTTTACTCGTTGCTACTATACATTTGCAAATCTTTCAGGTTGTTACTACTGATGCCTCAGTTACAAGTAATGTTTGGAGACGAATGGTACATGTTTTCGTTAATCTGGAAAAGTTTTAACCAAATTATGGTAAGTAATAGTGGTGCGTTATCAACTTTAACTTGGCATAAAGGAATAATACCAGCTCATCTATGGCTCGGTTAATAGTCTTATTTAAACTGCAAGCTTAATTTTTAATTCTCTTCATCATGTCTACAATTTTCTAGTGATAAATATATTTGTTTCGATCCAATTTTGTCTTTTGGTTTACCTAACTAAATCTTGTTAGGGTTACTTCCATTTATTAAACATTCTAAACGTCTCCAGATACACATGATTCATAGATAGATGGAGATATCAGTACGAATGATGTTGTTATCACTTTTACTAGTGGGTTCTCAATGACTAATAAGATCTCTTTTTTGAATAGGTCGGAGGCAAACGACCTACAGAGGTGTCTCGATGCTATATGTGAATCTACCACCTAATTTATTCTTCTCTGTTGTCCAGCTCCCTCGTAAAATTCTCACTAGTGACTGGCGTAAGTATTTTATCACTTAAAATGCTAGCTATAACTTTTGGCGTAGTGGTCATGGATTGAGTCCTAGCAAGAGTAAACTGTGCAGTTAAGGCTTGCAAGTGCTAGGGGTTGGGGGGGGGGGGGGGGGGGGGTGAATTGGTGGGCGGAGGCCTAAAAGGCCAAGTTCAACACTCTACCTTTCGAAATATGACACTGGCTTCTATACAAGTATAAGGAACTAAAGTTATGCCTTCGCTACTAGCTATAGCTTTGACGTAATGGTAAGTGCTTGATCCTAACAGATGGAAACATGTTCGTGGATATTTAGCATAGAAAGAGCAGACTCTGGTCTTAAAATTTCCTATACCTAATACTAATACAATGTAATTAATTGGATACACAGGTCAAGGTAGCTGGAGCAGAGAATGAAGCTGGAGCAGCAAAAATTGCACGTTCAGTTGCATCTTCTTCACTTACCAAGGCATATATATATGCTACATATAAACTTATGCAGTTCTACAACTAGTTCTGACATATCCCCCATTGATTTTCGCTCTCTATTATATGCCTCCTTAGGTAGCCGTTTATGGCAGGAATCCAAATTGGGGAGACATTGCTTGTGTTGCTGGCTATGTGGGAATTCCTTTCAACCTAAATAACTTCGAATATCTCTAGGAGATATTCTGCTTATGGATGGTGGGCAACCTCTTCCATTTGATAGGTAATAGCAATTACTCGACTCCTTGACCTATATCTGGAAACATGTATATTGATTCAGAAATGGCTGGCAGAAACCAACTCATGTTAGGCAAATTGCACACAATCTAGTATATATATAAATTGTTTCATTTTCATTATAATTTTCAAATTTCAGCCCTTGTTTAAGTGGAATCGAGTTGAGCTTCTTAATTTATAAAAATAGAACTTTTATAATTTATGTAAGTACTTTCCTAAAACTAAATTGGAATTTTCCTGACACAAAACTGAATAAAAACTAGGGCTGGGCACTTCGGGTTTCGGTTCGGTTTTTTTTTTTTTTTTTAGTTTCGGTTTCGGTTTTAAAAAAATTGAACCATTCGGTTTAACAATAGAGTTCGATTCGACTTCGGTTCGGTTTGAAAAAGTTTAGTTCGGTTCGGTTTCGGTTGTGGTTCGGTATTCGGTTCGATTTTGGTGGAATTCCACTATTTGAACGTTTGTTTTTTCGTCTGATTGATTGTTCAGTTGGCTCACTTGAAGTGTTTTGTTGATGACAAGATGAAGAATCATCTATCTATATAGTTAATATTTGAAAAAATAAGAATTATTAAATCACCAAATGTTGGGACTTACGACTTAGAGTTGAGGTCTGAGGACTTGAGAAGTTGAAATTATTAATTATTATAATATTTATATATAATACTAGCATTTTGTACGCGCAGTGCGCGAAAATTTATGCCCAACATTAAAAATTTGATAAATGCAAATAATTGTAAGTTATAGTTCAAATTATATTTCAGAATTCCTTGAAGTAGTAAATTTTAATCATCATATTTGAAAACTATAGAGATGAACAAAATTTATATTTTTTTATTAATAATGTAAACAATTTTGATATAATTTATACTTTGTTTTTACAATAAATAAATAAAATATTTATAATACTAATCTAGTACCCGGTCACATATATTGGTGTGCGTGCGTGCCTATATATATATATATATATATATATATATATATATATATATATATATATATACACACACACACACACACACATGATTTACCATTCATTGAAATTTAATTAAAATATAATCAACAATTAAAGTAATTATATAATGATTTTAATAAAATGATAATTAAAGAATATGAAAAAGATATATGTGTATGATAATAATGATAGAGTTATGAAAGTTAGAATTAAATAGTAACGGTGTTATAACTGTGTAAGGGTACTTTTGTCTAACAAGAATGTAGTAGAGACAATTTTGTCCATTATAATTGAAGTGTACAACATTTAATGAAAAATGTATACCTTTATTAACATAGAAATGTAAGTATTGACAAAAATGTGATTTTAGCTTAATGGGTAAAACTCTTGCTTTATAATTAAATGGTTAAGGGTTCAAATCCCACCTTAGACATTTAATACATTACGTATCTATTATTATTATAAACCAGAAAACCGATCGGTTCAAGTTTAAGTTAGCTAAGGGAGTAAAACTCCCGCCACATGTCCTAATTTTATTGGAGGAAGATGAAAAGAAAGTAATAAAAATTATGGCCCACCTTACTTTGAATGAATCAAAAGGTAACGGAGTACAATGTGCAATCTTTATGCTGTGCATCCGTATGCACCATGCATGGTGCATACGGATGCCAAAACGACGTCGTTTTATTAAAAAACGCACATCTCCCCTTTAAAAAAAATTCAGGTTCGATTCCCAGCAACAACATTATATTGTTCATTCATTCTGGAATTTTAGTTCATAAATTATGGAATTATAGTTCATTGATTATGGAGTTATAGTTCATCGATTATGGAATTGTAGTTCATCGATTCTGAAGTTTAGTTTATAGATTATGGAATTTTAGTTCATTCATTCTGAAATTTTTAGTTCATAGATTAGATTATGGAATTATAGTTCATCGATTATGGAATTATAGTTCATCGATTATGAAATTTTAGTTCATATGTTGTTGCTGGGAATCGAACCTGATTTTTTTTTTAAGCGGAGACGCGCGTTTTATTAAAACGACGTCGTTTTTGCATCCGTATGCTCCATGCACCATGCATGGTGCATACGGATGCACAGCATAATTTGCCTACAATGTGGGAGTAGATATAGTATTACTCAAATTATATATAATAAAAATTGTGGCCCACCTTACTTTGAATGAATCAAAAGGTAACGGAGTACAATGTGGGAGTAGATGTAGTATTACTCAAAGAGTTCTACTACATAGACTCCCAAAATTCTACTCCCTCATTTTTTTGAAGTGGCAAATTAGGATTGGTTGTTTTCATCATGTGGGTCCACAGAAAAATGTCTACATCAAGAGCATGTGAGAGGGAGTACAAGTTGGGAGTTTAAAATGGGAGTACACTAAGTATTTTCCTTACTCAAATTATATATAATAAAAATTGTGGCCCACCTTACTTTGAATGAATCAAAAGATAATGGAGTACAATGTGGAGTAGATGTAGTATTACTCAAATTATATATACCCCTTTCCTCCCTCCCTATCCATTCAAAGATTTCTCAGTTTCCATCTTCAGAGTCGTAACTCACTCCAAGATTTCTCTATTTCTGCGTTTCTGTGTTTCATATTTTCATACCCATCACTTAGTTTGAATCCAAAGTTGAAAGCTTTTCCAGATTGAGTTTCTTGTGGGCGATATATATGATGGTTCCACCCAGACGCAGACGCAGACGCTTCTTTGGGCTACACCAAGTCCAGTTTCACGGCATAAACTTCAGCGTGACCGTGACGAAGAGAGCCGCCAAGTTGATCAATGGGTTAGCGAGGTCGTCCACAACAACCGCCACGTCCTCCACAGCCTTATCATTGGCCTCGACATCAAGAAGCACCCGTGTCTTGCAGCAGGGGAAGAAGACAACCCGGCCGCCACGCTCCAGCTTTGCGTGGGGAAAAGCTGTCTGATTTTTCAACTTTTGGACAAGGACTACACTCCCATTCTCTCCTTACCTTCCTGGCTAATCCGGGATTCACCTTCGTCGGCGTTGGGGTCTGAGATGACGCCGAGAAGCTCCTCCAGGACCACGGGTTGGTGGTGGAAACATTGTGGATTTGCGGTGGGTGGCCGCGGGGGTTTACGACTCGGAGCGGTTTATGAGGATGGGGTTGAAGAGAATGGCGTGGGAAGTTCTGGGAAGGGTGATGGAGAAGCCATTAGAAGTGACTCAGCGATTGGGATGCCAAGATTCTTACCTTTCCGCAAATTGAATATGGTTCGATTGATGCATTTATTTCCTTAGAAATTGGTATCAATTTGTTCTTGTAGAGCTATATACCATTTAGTTGTTGATTGAGTAGTAGAGTGGTTTTGTATTAAGGTCTGATTGTCAATAAACACTACCTAAATTTGGTATTGACTCTTTCTTTAAAAGCTTTTTTTGGTTGTTAATTTTTCATCCTCATTATGGCGGGATAGCATGTTTGTTAGGGAAGTTGTAGAGATTCTGATGTTTTTTGTATCCAATGCCACTGCACTTTGCTTTTGATGTGTGCACTCTTAATTGTTTTGAATCTTTTGAAATTAGAAAATGCAAATTATTAAATCCAAAAATTGATAAAGAAATGATGGAGAATTTGGTGAAGAGCAAAGAGCAGAAGTATGTTAACCTTATAGAACAAGTATGGGAGACAAATTAAAGAAGATTAGGAGTGCAGCAGATGTAGTTTAGTTAGATGTTTTTTTTCTTTTTCGAATGTTGTTACTTACTTAATTGTTAGATAACTAACTGCCTAAAATGGCTGTTGGGGAAAAACATTCCAACACAATGTTGTGATTCTATATAGTTTTAAAGCTACTTACATCAGTGGATCCGTGGCACAATGGTCACATCTGACTCCAGATCAGAAGGCGGTTTATTCTTAAAAAAAAAAAAAGTATGGCGGTTTAAAAAGAGAAGATATCGGAGCAGCGCGCTACTGCCTAATGCTATTGCTGGAGAAGAAATCCAAAAAATTAACCGAGCATAGAGTTTAAAAAGAAAATATTTGAGTTGGTAACGTGCATACCGAAGCTCCGAAGCAATGATGGAGATACCGGAGTTGGCAGAAATGACCGGAGCGCGCTACTACCTACTGCTACTGCGGGAGAAGCTAAGAAAGCCAAAAATTAGTTGAGTATGATGTTTAAAAAGAAAATATTAAATTTGGCAACGTACATACCGAAATTCCGAAGCTATATATGATGGGAATTTTGAGGCTATGCATATAACCTTTTTAGAAAGTAAGAAAAGACATGCCGTTTTTACAAGAAAAGATATATCAAATATCTTATCTATATTTTATTGTCAATGATAACTTTATTGTCAAAAA